TGGCTGCCTGCGCTGCCGCTCGCGCCGCTCCAGGGGCCCAGCCGTGGCCCAAGCTGGGGATCGAAGCAAAGTTCCCCTGGTGTTTGCCTGTTTTGTTTTTAAGAAAAATTGAGTGTTTTCTTCAATGTGAAGGAAGAGGGGAGGGCAGGAGCAACCAACTGCTTCTGCCTGTCTTGCCTCATCCCGCTGTGTGCGGAGCCGCGCAGCCCAAACAGGGGGAGCGCGGAGCTGCCCGCGGCGCAGCGCGGTCACAGCGACGGCTCCTCTGCGCCGCTCCGCACGGTGGGAACGGCAGGGCCGGGGGGGGGCGGCAAATGCTGCGCTGTGTGAAATATGTGATGGGTAAGGAACCAAAGCTGCTCTTAACCTTTATTTCATTTTACTTAGGAGGTTCTTACTGATGTTCCTGTAAAACCATTCCCAAAATAGAATTTTTGTTTTCCAAAAGGTTCCATCGTTCTCAAGTGCAAACGGTTCATAGAGCTTTAAGCACATGCATCAATATGCTTTCATTTCCGTACTTGTCTATATTTCTGTGAGGGAATGCCCCAGAGATGCCTAATTTCGGATCAGCGTTCATCCTGCCTGGGTACTGAGGAGATTTTTTTTTTTCCTAAGGGTAAAATACATTGTATTGGTAACGTATTAAAGCCTGCCAATATTTAGGTAATTTGTTGAGCTCGTTCCAGTGCTGTAGGATCAGCTCATCACTTGAGATTGAGGTGAGTTGTTTTAGCACCACGTGGGTCAGCAAGACTTTTTACTGAGACGCGAGGAGTTGAGTTACCCTCTCGCTCAGGGTCTGTCCTTGCAGGAGGCCCCTCCCGCTGGTCAGAGTCTTCGCACTGCGCAAAAAGGGTCGTTTTGCCACGCTGGGTCTTTCTGCCTCTGTCAAGCTGGCTGCCTTTTACTCAGCTCCGTAATGCCCGTGTGCTGTACAGGGCAATATATATATATAGCACAGTGTGCATAGGGCGGTGTTCTGGCTGACTTGCTCTGATTTTTATTTATCCGAGACCCAACTGAAAATGAGTTTTGGTGCTGTGAGAAAGCACTAATACGGAAAATATTCATAATACCCATTAAATGAGGGGGTTCTGACATCATCTGTTATTGTAAATAACCTTTAATTGTATCCGGGTAGTCCATGGCATATCCGAGCCAAATGGAGATCCGAATGGTTCCTGTTTTGGTTTGATATCTTAGCAGACCCGAGTATCCAAATGCCTCTTGCCAGAGACAGCCTGAAATCTGGGCACTGCTCAGACAGACGTGTCATTTAGTAGCAGTTAATTCAAAAACACATTGACATGATACTCAGGTAGCAAAACCATCCTCAAAAACCGTTGCGTGCCTGGTGCTGAGGAGCCTGGCCTCTTCTCATGTTTTTTCGTGATGAACGGTTGTAATTTGTACCGTCTGGTTCTATTTCAAAGTACAGATTTGTTGCTCTCTTGAGGAAAGAAACATTGGTGGGGGTGGAATTTCCCTTGAGTTTGTTTATGTTTTTGTTTCCCCTGCTACAATGTTTTTGGCCTTAAACCCTGTTCCAGAGCTCCTCCGGGCCCCTCGGAGCACTGAGCAGACTAACTCGCTCCCTGGAAACTGAAGTTGGGGGCAGCGTTTCCCACCGAGCGCCGCTCCTGTCCGCGCTGTTTGTGCCCGTGCGGGCGCTGAGCGCGGCTCTGCTTCCCCCTAGGAGGACTTTCGCAGTAAGGTTGAAGACTACATGAAGCGCTACGCGAGATGATGAAGGGCGGCGGGTGGCAGGACCGTGGCTCTCACACCGTAGACTCGTCTTGAACTTCAGCAGCAGCAGCCAAACCAGCCCGGGTTGTCCCAGTCCTGTGTCCATGTCGTACCGAAGAAGAAAACTAACTCCATAACCTGTCCCTGCGAAGCGGAGAGGTGGGCCTAGATGCGGCGAGAGAGTGTGTATGTGGATCGAAACAAGTTGTTTGCTTACTTTTAAGATGTTTACTCTTCCGAACTGTACTGTATATCCTGTTGATGAGATACGCTTGAGAAGTTAAGAGAAATCACTATTGGAATTGTATTTACACTTTTTTTTTTTTTTTTAAATTCTTCTTGCCTGATTTTGGGGGGAGAAAAACAAAACCAAAACCAACCCCCCAAGCAAGGCGGTGTGTTTCTGGAGCACTTGGCAATAAACTGCTCTCCTGTGTACCCTGCGCGCGGTGCCCCGGCCTGTGGTGAGCAGCGAGCAGGCGAGCCGCGGGCGGGAGCCCCCGGGCACATGGAGCCCGCGGCGCTTCCCACACGGACGTCTCCAGCCACGAGTATGGAAGCTTCACACGATCATTTTGAGCTCCGATTTGGGCTATGGTGTTTTTCCTTCCTATTCATTGTGTGGAGCAGTTGAAAGAGATAGAGGCTAATCCCTAACTTAATAAATGTGTAGTATAAGTTAAAAAAATATATAAATATATATTTTTCAGTGAAAATACAGCAAAGGGCCCTTGTTCCCAGCCGCCCTGTGCGTGCCCTGGCTTGGACCCCGCTGCAGGGCTGGCGGAGGCGCTCGAGCCCACGTGCCCCTGCCCCGGCACCCTGCCAGGGGGCGCATCCC